TATCACTCCATTAACCAAATTAATTTTATTATTTGGTTGGGAATACTTATTTTACTAGATACAGAGCGTTCCCCACATCTAACAGGAAAAAAGCTTGTGTGGTCAGAAAGGTAGAGAAGAAAGGACGTAAATCTCTTATAATGCTCTCTACAGGTCTTTATACCACAGCTTCTCAATTAATCTTCACCCCCACCAGGCTGCCAGGGCCTAGGGAACAGCCTGGAAGTCTGGCTACAGAACAGTTTCTCATTATCATCCATTCTTCTGAGTATTTGAGTCTGCTACAACAGTTCAGGTTTCCTCTGGAGGGAAAGTAGCCCCAGATTCTTCTGTTCTTGACCTATCTTATTTGTAACTACAACACTTTCTCTTTTTTTTTTTTCATCTTTTATAGTTTTATTGTACTATGGTATACAGTAAACGGCACATATTTAAAGTGTACATTTTTGCAAATGTTAACAGAGGCATACACCAATGAAACCATCACTATAGACATATCCACTACCCCCATGCTGTTTTGTAATCCTGCCTTCCTGCTTCTTCTCATCCACATCTGGATCATTTCCAGTTTGGGGAGATTACAAACAAAGCTTTTGTGAACATTCACTACACATCTTTAGTGTGAATATATGCTTTCACTGACCTTGGGTTAAATACTTAGAAATAAAATGACTAGGTCAAATGGTAAATGTATGTTTAACTTTTTAAGACACTGACAAATGGTTTTCAAAGTGGTCTTACAATTTTATGTTCCCACCATCAGTATATGAGGATTCCAATTCACCCACACCATTGATAACACTTGTTATGGTCAGTCTTTAATTTTAGCCATTCTAGCAGGTTGGTAGCAATATATTATTTGACATTTGTTCATCTTCTTTGCTAAAATGTTAGTTCAACACTTTTGCTCATTCTTTATTGTGTTGTTTCTTGTTATTGAAGTGTAAAGTGTTCAATTTGACAAAGCCCAGTTATTTTTTCCTTTATAAAATTTTGTACTTTTTATGTCTTACTTAAGAGATTTTTGGCAAATTCCAAATCACTAAGATTTTCTATGTTTTCCTCTCAGAATTTAATGGTTTTACCTCTTACATTTAGATCTGTGACCCATTTCAAATTAATTTTTGTAGATGATGTTAAGTAAGGGTTGAAGTGGTTTGTTTGTTTGTTTGTTTGCTTGTTTGTTTTTTCAAATATGCCATCCAACTGTTCTAAGAACATTTGTTTAAAAGATTATCTTTTCGGGGTGCCTGGGTGGCTCAGTCGGTTGAGTGTCCCTTCTTCGGTTCATGGGGTCATGATTTTGCGGTCCAGAGTTCGAGCTCCGCATCAGGCTCTGTGCTGACAGCTTGGAGCCTAGAGTCTGCTTCAGATTCTGTGTCTCCCTTCTCTCTTTGCACCTCCCCCACTCATGCTCTCAATCTCTCTCTCTCTCTCTCTCTCTCTCTCTCTCTCTCTCTGTCAAAAATAAATAAATTTTTTTTTAATGTTTAAAAAAATGTTTAAAAAAGATTATCTTTTCTCCACTAGATTGTTTTGATAGTTTCATCAAAAATCAGTTGATGATATAGAAGTAGGTTTATTTCTGGACTCTGTGCAGGTGCATTGATCTGTTTGTTTATCCTTATGCCAATAGCATAGTGTCTTGATTATTTTAGTTCTGTGATAAGTTGTAACTAAAAGAATCTTGTTTTTCAAAGGTGTATTTTGACTAATCTTAGTCCTTTGCATTTCCACATAAATATTGGAATCAGCTAACAGTTTCTATAAGAAAGGCCTGCTGGAGGGGCGCCTGGGTGGCCCAGTCATGTAAGCACCTGACACTTGATTTCAGCTCAGGTCATGGTCTCACAGTTCCTGAGATCAAGCCCCACGTTGGGTTCTGTGCTGACAGCATGAAGCCTGCTTAGGATTCTCTCCCTCTATCTCTGCCCTCCCCTGCTCACATCCACATGCTCTCTCTCTCTCTCAAAATAAGTAAACTTAACAAAAAAAACTTAAAAAAAAAATGAAAGATAGGTCTGCTAGAATTTTTATGGGTATTACATTAAATCCATAGAAAAATTTCTTAGAGCTGTTAACAATATTGAATCTTCTGATCTACAGACACTTTATATCTCTCCATTTATGTAGGCTTCTTTCCTTTTTCTTGGCATTGTTTTGTCATTTACAGTGTGCAGGTCTTACACTTTTATCAGGTATTACACATATTTGATAGTATGTTAAAAGTGATTTTTAATATCAATTTCTAATTGTTCATTGCTGGTATATCTTGCTATATATACACACACAGTATGGTGTGTATATAGTATGGAAATTCAGTTGATTTTTGTATAGTGATCTTGTACCCTGCAGCCTTACTAAACTCACTTAGTAGTTCCAGTAATTTTTTTCTAGATTCTATAAGATATTCTACAAAGGCCAGGAATTTCTCAATCTCAGCATTATAGACGCAGTAAGATATTTAACAGCATCCCTCTTTCTACTTATTAGATACCAGCAGCACCCTCTACCCTAGCTGTGACAACCAGAAATTGCCAGACCTTACCAAATGTCCTCTGGTGGGGGGCAAAATTACCCACTATTGAGAACCATAGACATAGACAAACATGCCGTCTGTAAACAAAGACAACTTCCCTTCTTTTTCCATCTTAATGCCTTTTTTTTTTTTTAAATATGGAACACTTCACGAATTTGCTTGTTGTTCTTGTTCAGAGGCTATGCTAAGCTTCTCTGTATCATTGCAGTTTTAGTATATGTGCTGCCAAAGCAAGCACTTCATACCTTTTATTTATTTCTTTTTTTTTCTAAAATGTCTGTTTAGGGACACCTGGGTGGCTCAGTCGGTTGAGCATCCGACTTCGGCTCAGGTCATGATCTCGCAGTCTGTGAGTTCAAGCCCCACATCAGGCTCTGTGCTGACAGCTCAGAGCCTGGAGCCTGCTTCGGATTCTGTGTCTCCCTCTCTCTCTGCCCCTCCCCCGCTCATGCTCTCTCTCTCTCTCTCTCTCTCTCTCTCTCTCTGTCTCTGTCTCTGTCAAAAAAAAAAAAACATTAAAAAAAATAAAACGTCCGTTTATTTATTTTGGAAAGAGAGAGCAAGGGAGGGACAGAGAGAGAAAAAGAATCCCAAGCTGGCTCCATGCTGCCCGCTCAGAACCCGACACGGAGCTTGATCCCACAAATCATGAGATCGTTACCTGAGCCAAAATCAAAAGTCCAACACTTAACCAACTGAGCCACCAGGCGCCCCAACTTTTATTTATTTCTTTTGTTTGCCTTAGTGTACTGGCTAAAGTGTTCAGTACAGTACACTGTTTAAGAGCAAACATTTTTGTCTTGTTCTTGATCCTAAGGGGAAAACATTCCACCATCCACCATTAAGAATGATTTTAACTGTAAGTTTTTCCTAACTGCCCTTTATCAGGTTGAGGAAGTTCCTTTGTATTCCTAGGTTGCTGAAAGTTGTTATTAGGAATGTATTTGGATTTTGCCATCTGCTTTTTCTTCTTCTATTAGATGATCTTATGGTTTTCTTAGTTATGGTAAATTACATTGATTGATTTTTGAATGTTACACCAACCTTGCATTCCTAAGATAATAATAATTTATTATCTTTTTTAATATACTGTTGGATTTGCTTTGCTAAAATTTTCTTTAAAATATTTGCATCTTTTTTTTCTTTTTTTTTTTTCTTTCTTTTTTTGGTATCAGAGTGATGCTAGCCTCAAGGAATAAGTTGGGAAGTATTTTCAGTTTTCTAAATAGGTTATTGTATAGCATTGATACTATTTTTATTCCCTAAATATTTGGTAGAATTCACCGGTGACAACATCTGGACCTGAAATTCTCTTTATTGGAAGCTTTTTAACTATAAAATCAATATGTTTAGTAAGTACAAGACTAGTCAGACTATCTATTTCTTCCTGAACTTTGATAACTTGTGTCTTTCCACAAATTTGTCCAGTTCATCTAATTTACCAAATCTATTGGCATAAAGTTGTTAATGTTTCTTTGTTATTCTTTTAGTGTATGTAGATTCTATAGTGACATCACATCTCTTATCCTCAATAATGGCAACTTACATCTTCTCTCTCTTTTTTTCCCTGATCAGTTTGCCTATTAATTTTGTCCTACTTAGACTCCCAAATCCGTCCTGTCAACTCAATGAGAATGTTGAACTCTCCCTAGGTTGTTGTTTCTTGTGTTGTGGCCTGGTAACTCTCTCTAGGTGGTAAGCTAGAGCAATTTTATAGTTTACCCCATTTGTTTCCCTCCCTTCATGAATCTTTTACAGTATTTGAAAAACTTGCCTTCATATACTTTGTCTTTAATGTTAGTAGTTTCTGGAAAAGGATAAATCTGGTTGCTTTTATTTTATTTCTTTGTGGTCAGAAACAGAAGTCCTTAACACTATTTTCTACTTTATCACATTTATTTTAATGTCAACTAGTCCATGGCACTTGACTATAGAAATTATTTCACAGTTGCTTCTGGGAGTAAAAGGGAGATGTAAGGTCCTTTATAACTTTTCAACTCTTAAATTTGTACTTGGAGAGATATCCATACAATAGAGTTTTGTGCAAAAGCATATGCTAGGAATAACAACACAGAAGGAATCCAGAGAGATGGAGTGAGGGAATAACTTCTCAGCTGTAAAGACCCAAGATAATATTATTTGGCCGGTATTTCTTACTCACAACCTCTTAATCTCAAAACTAAAGGAAAGTGTGATTATACTTTTGGCTTACAAAGACTAGAATGACTTGATGGTGAATTGTCATGTCCCAACTTGAGCTCTTTAAAAGAAATGTTGAGGAAAACCTATGATATTTGGGGGAAGAATTCTTCCACATGGACTCTAACACTTGGAGTTTAACACTTACTATCAAGACTGAAGAAAGAGATAGGTACATAGACCACTTTTTGGCCTGACCCAACATGACATTTCTGACGCTATTAGACAATACTCATGTTCTTCCCTTTTGTCTGTGTTCCAGGTTTTCTGTCTCAGCTGGTCTCTGACAAGCCCCTGACTGAATGCATCCGTGCTGGTCACTACGCAGCAAGCGTCATAATTAGGCGGACTGGCTGCACTTTTCCTGAGAAGCCAGATTTCCACTGATAGAAATGCAGGAAATCCAAGCCCAGTGGAACAGATACTGCCCTGATTGCTTCCTGAGAATTCCCATATTAATAAAGAAGAAAATTATCTGCCATCTTTTCCTACTATAATAATATTCATTCTTAATTTGGAGGGTACAGTAATTCTCAGTAGAATCTTTATTCTCTCAACAACCTAAAAAAATAATGTCTATTTCCATAGTTTGATAGTGCCACTTAAATGTTGATTAAACAGGAATATAACATTTCAATGGAAATTTTTATTTCATTTTCAATTACTTTGTAAATTCATGTGTATTTAGCAAATTGATCAGTTTTTTTACATTTCTGCTTTGAATGCAGATGTGATTTAATATAATAGATTTTTAAACAGGACTTAATTCTAAAACATCAATCTTCAGCTTTTTATACGAGTATACTTAATTTAGGAGTATGTGTATGTATATATGTATGTGTGTATGTATATACATACATATATGTGTACCACATATATAAATGATAAGTGGTCAAATAAGGTACAGAAGAATTTATCTTGCCAAGTTATGCCAAATAACCTCTTTAGTGCATACTCAAACATGTAATAAATTTTGGATAATTAAATAATTTGCCAAATTATAAGTTATAGTATTCAAATTATAATCTTATATTTACCTATGGTACTCTGTAATTTGATACAAATAAAAAATTGTCATATAGGAATTTCCTTATGTCTTTGCCCTGTTCTCAACAAGATAAGGAGGTTAAGATCATTATTTAATACTGGGTCCTGAAATGATATCTAATTCATTGATGATGATAGAAAAACAACATAATACATTGAAAAATAATTTAGTACTTGAGACCAATAAGTCACTGTTTTAAGGAAGAGAAAATTGCATAATAGAACCTCTGGAGTCAAACTTAATTGCCTTTATATAACCTGGGGCAAATTACTGAGCCTCTTTTACCTTCATTTTCCTTTCTATAAAATGGGATAATAACTCCATGTACAAGATCATTGGGATGATTTGAGAGAAAATACCAGGTATAAAATGCTTGCTTGCTGCCTGCCTAGTAAGTGCTTAATAAGTACCTGCTATTTTTATCATTATGATTATTATTGTCGAAGAAGAAAAAGGTAATATTGATAACATTGAATTCAAGCCATAAAAAAGGGTTCAAGTTTTTGTTTGTTTTATGTTTAGGAAAACTTTAAGGTATGCTATGCTTGCTTGTCTTTTTCTTTTTTAAATTGAGATATAATTCACATACCATAAAACTTCCATTTTAAAATGTACAATTCATTTCATTTTAGTGTATTCACAAAATTATACAACCATTACCATTTTTATCATCCCAAAAAGAAACACTGTATCTCCCGATTCACCATACTCCCCATCCCTTGGCAACTACTAGTCTATTTTCTAGCTGTATAAAATTTGCCTGTTCTGGACATTCATAAAAATGGAGTCAGTATAATGTGTGTTCTTTTGTGTCTGGCTTCTTTCACTTAGCATGTTTTCATGATTCACCCATCTTATAACATGTATCAGTTATTTTTTTATTTGCCAAATAATATTTTATTATATAGATATACCATATTCTGTTTAACCATTCATCAGTTGATGGACATTGGGTTATTAGCACTGTTTAGCTATTATGAATAGTGTTGCTATGAACATTCATATACAAGTCCTTTGTGTTTTCGGTCCTTTGGGATATGTACCTAGGAGTGGAATTGTTGGGTCACATGGTAACCCTATGTTTAACTTTTTGAGACGCTGCCAAACTTTTTCCAAAGGGACTGCACCATTTGCAGTACACCAAAGGGATGCACATTCTCATCAAGGTTTGAGGGTTCAGTTTCTCCACACCATGGAATATGAAGGGATATTTCATTGTGGTTTTGATTTGCATTTCCCTAATGACTGATACTAAGCATCTTTTATATGCTTATTGACCATTTATATTTTTTTCTGTGGAAAAATGTCTATTCATATCCCTTGCCCATTTTTTAATTGAGTGATTTGTACTTTTATTATTGAACTATAAGAGTTCTTTGTATATTCTAGCTGTGTCTCATCAGATATATGATTTACAAATATTTTCTTCCATTCTTGTGGGTTTTTACTTTCTTGATGTGTCCTTTGAAGCACAGATGTTTTCAATTTGTATGAAGTCCAGTTTGTCTATTTGTTCTTTTGTCATTTGTGCTTTTGGTTTCATGTCTAAGAAGCCATTTGCCTAATCCAAGATCACAAAGACTAACACCTGTGTTTTTGTCTAAGTTTTATAGTTTTTGCTCTTAGATTTAAGTCTTTGATCCATTTTGAGTTTATTTTTGTATATATGTAAGGTAGAGGGCCTAAATTCTCTTGCATGTGAATATCCAATTGTCCCAGCACCTTGTTGAAAAGACTGTTTTCTCCACTACTGAACTTGCTAGGCAAACTAGTCAAAAATCAATTGGCCATAAATGTAAGGTTTTGTTTCTGGACTCTCAGTTCCATATGTCTATCCTTGTGCCAGTCCAGACTGTTTCAATTATGGAGCTTTGCGTAAGTTTTGAAGTCAGGAAGTGTAAATCTTCCAACTTTGTCTCTCAAGAACAATTAGTTTCAGTGCTAAGGTATCTTTATCATATTAAAACTACTACAGAATGTCTTTCTCTTAGGAAGGACACTGATAAACTTTTTCTACTCTTTTTGATGAGAAACTTTCTTATCCCAAGACTATTGATCAGGTGCCACTCACTAGCTAGGCCTCTGACAGGCAACTAAAGGAGGTTACAAAGTATGCTATTTGGTAGCACTTAATGTGCACACAGAGCACATAACTTTCTTACAATAAAAAATAGTCATTGGGATATGTGTATTTTGTCCTTGAGTTGATGACACTTTTTTTTTTAGTTCTCTCTTTTTTTTTTAAATATATTCTTTTTTTTTTTCAACATTTATTTATTTTTGCGACAGAGAGAGACAGAGCATGAACGGGGGAGGGGCAGAGAGAGAGGGAGACACAGAATCAGAAACAGGCCCCAGGCTCTGAGCCATCAGCCCAGAGCCCGACGCGGGGCTCGAACTCACGGACCGCGAGATCGTGACCTGGCTGAAGTCGGACGCTTAACCGACTGCGCCACCCAGGCCCCCCTTAGTTCTCTTTTTTGATAAAGGGCAAAGGAGAAATAATGGCTAGCCTAACAGACTTGGTCTCAGGAAATCTCTGACTGGTTGTTAACACATTCCCCACTGCGACCTAAGTTTTTGCATCTTGGAGTGGGGAATAGTTAACCTAGTCTCACTTTATAGTATCTTGGTTTAATAGATATTTGAGGGAGGACATGCAGTATGGGAGAAGAATAATGAAGTTATCAAGAAGACATGAGCCCTGGCCCCAGGTTGGCTTCAAATAGCTGTGTGACCCTCTTATCCGAAGTTATTCACCAGATATAGATAGTTTACTTGTGACATCTCTAAGTATAATTATATTGTAGACCAGTGTTTTTAATAAAGTTGCCTCCCTATACGTGGGGAAAGGCAGTTCTTACCGGAGTAGTGATCCAAAAAGATAGGCCATTTATTTGTGAGTCACAGTTGGGCAAGTGAGGTGGGAACAGAAGACTGATCATTTGGTGGGAGAGAGGGGATGAACCTTGGTGATCTGGAGAACTAGAAAATTGAGGTCATCCTAGTCTCAGCAAGTGATCAAGGTTGCCGGAAAAGTGCTTTCATAAGATTGGAAAAGAAGATGGTACAAGCATTTAAAGATAGGCTGGGTGCTCAAGTATATAACAGAGTAGGAGAAAGAGGAAAAAAAGAGTAAGAGTAGCTACAAGAGTAGTTGATAATTTTTACATCTGTCTTCATTATATGTACCTTTACTGCTTTATTTCTCTGAAAAAATCAAAGAGTAAGACTTTTTTTTTTTTTTTTTTTTTTTTAGATCAGGGTGAGGGAAATACATTCTTAAAGTTCAAGCAACTTTGGCTAAAAGCTATTATTCTTACCAACAAGCAACTTTGACTAAAAGTTATTATTCTTACCAAATTTTGCAAAGCAATTATTATAATTTTTTACTCTTTCAAACCAAAGATACATAGTATAGAGATTGCTTTAGACATACATAAGCCTACAAAGGAAGCATGTGTTTAGCTGGCAGTCTAAAAATACCACCAGTATTAAAATATTAAAAAATTCATGATTCACTTCTCTCACTACATCACCTTCAGAAAAAGTGTCCATTTAATAATATTTTCATGGGATAAAATAGGTTTAAAATGTAAACAATTTTTTTTATGATTCAGTTGTAGTTCTATGGTCTAGTCCCCAGCTTTTGTCTCGTTGGACAAGTTCTTGAACGGCTGTGAGCCTTGGTTTTCTCAACTGTAAAATAAGGAAAACATATCCACCACTACCACCTCCAGTGAAAGAATGTTAAGAGAAGGTAAAAGGAAAACATAAAGATTAAATAAATTTAAACATGAAGTAGTTTGATATTTTACAGAAGTACCAAAGCAACTCAGTGGGAAAGGAAAGTCTTTTCAACAGACAATGCTATACCAATTTGACATCTATAAGAGAAAAAATGAACCTTACCTCACACCATACATAGAAGTTAGAGATGGATCATAGCCATAACATAAAAGCCAAAGCTATTACACTTTTAGAAGAAGACATATGAGAATATTCTCACGGCTTGGGGGTATGCAAAGTTTCTTAGAGAGGGTTTTGAAAGCACTAACCATGAAAGAAAAATATTGATAAATTGAACTCCCAAAAAATTTTGAACTTTTTTTCATCAAGACACCATTAAGACTATGTATAAACCACCAGCCAGGATAAAATATTCACAGTACATGTATCTTGATAAAAACTTGTATTTAGAATATATTAAAAACTCAACAATGGAAAGGCAGATAACCTTACAAAAATATATATATGAATGGCCAATAAGCACATGATAAAGTAGTCAGCATCATTATTCAGAGTGAAATGAACATTAAAATTTCAGTGAGTTAGCTCT